AAAAAAAAAAAAAAACTACAAAAATTAGCAGCGCGTGGCAGCACGCGTTTGTAGTCCCAGCTACACAGGAGGCTGAGGCAGGAGAATCACTTGAACCTGGGAGGCGGAGGTTACAGTGAGCCAAGATTGTACCACTGCACTCTAATCTAGCAGAGCGAGACTAGGTGGGCGGATCACCTGAGTCTGGAAGGTTGAGGCTGCAGTGAGTCGTGACCATGCCACAGCACTCCAGCCTGGGCAACAAAGCGAGAGGAAAGAAAGAAAGAAAGACAGCAGGGAGGAAGGGAGGGGGGGAAATCAGAACCATGCACACAAAGAGAGACCCTAGCTAAGAAAGAAGAAAGAGAAAGAAAGAAAAAAAGAGGGGGGGGGAGGAAAGAATGAAAAGAGAAAAAAGAAAAGAAAATCAAAGAAAAGAAAAAAAACGAAATCCGACCGTGCAATTTGGGAAAGCTGGGGTGGAAAGGACACACGCACTGGAGCAGGAAGACAGGGAGGAAAGGTTGGAAGGCAGGTCTCCTGAGCTGGGCTCACGGTGCTTGGCATGGGAATGACACCATCAGACACAATCAGCCGGCGAAAGGAGGCACCAGGGCCTGAGTCACAGAGCAGAGCAAGGAGGATGCCGCCACATAATCACCAGCACCTGCCTCTTGACGGCAGCTCAACTCACAACAGGCAGAGGCTGGAAACAGCACCAAGGTCCACTGAAGGAGGAGACACACAAGACCCGGTCCCTCCACACTACAGAACATGACTCGGCCATGAAAAAGAGCAGGGCTCTGACTCAGGCCACAGCCTAGATGCACCTTGAGGCTGCCACACTCAGTGAGAGAAGCCAGACACAAAAGGCCACAGAGTGTGGGATCCCATTTCTCTGAAATGTCCAGGACAGGCCCAGCCACAGAGGCGGGGGAGACAGGTGGTGGCGGCTGATGGGGTCAAGGCTGGTTTCTTCCTGAGGGGATGAGAAGGCTCTAGGGTGGGACAGAGGTGATGCCTGCACGGGCCTGTGAACATATAAAAACCAGGGGACTGCACACTCTACAGCAGTGAATCGTGTGGCATGAGAAGTGTATTCAAATAAAGCTGCCACAAGAAAAAATTAAAGTAACAAGGGGCAGTAAGGCCGGGCACGGTGGCTCACGCCTGTAATCCCAACACTTTGGGAAGCCGAGGTGGGAGGATCATCTGAGGTCAGGAGTTCGAGACCAGCCTGGCCAACATGGAGAAACCCCATCTCTACTACAAGTACAAAATTAGCCAGGCATGGTGGCGCATGCCTGTAATCCCAGCTACTTGGGGGGCTGATGCAGGAGAATCACTTGAATCCGTGAGGTGGAGGTTGTGGTGTGCCAAGATTGTGCCACTGCACTCCAGCCTGGGCGACAAGAGCAAAACTCCGTCTCAAAAAAAGAAGGGACAGTGAAGGAGCCTGAAGGAATAACCAGATGAAGTTCAAAACTGAGGGGGAGGGGCCCACTGTTATGGGAGTGGGCCCACTGTTCAGGGTGGGGTGTCATTCGTGGTCAGCGGCAGCTGAGTGACTTACTGAGGTGCAGCCAGGTGGGCTGCTTGTGCACCCCTCATCCCAGCCATGAATGAGGACACCGAGGCAGAGGAAGACAGTCACCTGCCAAAGCACAAAGGGACCCAGGGCCGCTGGGGACATGGACATCCCTGGATAAGACCCTAAGGGGCCCAGGAAGGGTCTATGGCTCTGTGGTGAGTCGAGTGGCTGGGGAGAAAGTGAGGTGTGGGCAGGGTGGTGACAGGCAGAGGTGACAAGCAGGAGGTCACTGGTGACCACAGGGAGGTGTCAGGGCAGAAAAGAGATGAGGTCAGACACTCGCTTCCTGCTGGAGGTGCCCAGGTCCCTGTGGCAGCCCCAGCAGGGGGCCCACTCTGGGCAAACACAGAGCCCAGGGCACTGAGCAAGCCAAGGGCAGAGCTGGGACCAGGCAGACGAAGTCGCTGCCCTCAGGGGGCTCACAGTCCAGAACCATGGACAGGCTGCTTGCTGTACTGGGGCGTCCTGGGCACAGCGGGGCATTGAGCAGCACCTCTGGCCCAAACACGGTCAAGTATCCCCTCGGGACAGAATCTGCCAGTGGAGAGCTTTGCCAGGAGTCCCCAGGGGTGGCCCCACACACACACAACTTTCCATCCTCTTCCCACTAAGTGACACGAAGAAAAAGTTCCTCAGAACCAATTCCATTCTGAGCCTCCCCAAACCCAGAAGTCCCTAGTCTACAAAACGCTCCCACCAGAAGCCCCAGTAAACAGAGGGTGGTTTGAAAATCAATGGAAGGCTGGGCACAGTGACTCACGCTTGTAATCCCAGCACTCTTGGGGGGCTGAGGCGGGCGGATCACCTGAAGTCAGGAATTCAAGACCAGCCTGGCCAATACGGCAAAACCCCACCTCTGCTCTTTCCCTGCCGCCGCTGAGTCGTGCGGAGGCGGAGGCTTGGGTGCGTTCAAGATTCTGCTTCACGGGTAACCCACCGCTAGGGCCGAGGAAGGCGTTGCTGCTGGAGGTGTAATGGACGTTAATACTGCTTTACAAGAGGTGCTGAGGACCGCCCTCATCCACGATGGCCTAGCGCGTGGAATTCGAGAAGCTGCCAAAGCCTTAGACAAGCACCAAGCCCATCTTTGTGTGCTTGCATCCAACTGTGATGAGCCTATATATATCAAGTTGGTGGAGGCCCTTTGTGCTGAACACCAGATCAACCCAATTAAGGTTGATGACAACAAGAAACTAGAGGAATGGGTAGGCCTCTGTAAAAACTGACAGAGAGGAGAAGCCCCGGAAAGAGGTTGGTTGCAGTTGTGTAGTAGTTAAAGACTATGGCAAGGAGTCTCAGGCCAAGGATGTCATCGAAGAGTACTTCAAATGCAAGAAATGAAGAAATGAGTTATTTGGCGCTCTCACACACACACACACACACGAAAAACATCTCTACTAAATATATAAACTAGCCAGGTGTGGTGGTGCATGCCTGTAATCCCAGCTACTTGAGAGGCTGAAGCAGGAAAATTGCTTGAACCTGGGAGATGGAGGATGCAATGAGGCAACATCACGCCATTGCACTCCAGCCTAGGCAACAAGAGTGAAACTCCATCAAAAAAAAAAAAAAAAAAGAAAATCAATGCAGCCCCACCCTGAAGACTGATGGGGCTTGTTCGTTTCTAGGAACTCCTCCTCCACCCCACCCTTGCCTGTAGCCAGTGTGCGGGTTCTGAAATTTTACCTGGGAAGCAGTCAGTCACAGGGGCAAACTGGCGGGCACGACTTTGCCAAGACACCCGTCCCCAGCACAGCACGGGGCTTGCCTTTCAGCAGGAGCCTACACCCTTAGCAAAGCCCCACGCAACCCAACTCCTCGCCGAGCGCAGGGCAGCCGGCAGCGGCCAGCAGCCAGCACACCTGCCTCCACTTGGGATTCCGAAGGAAACGACAATCGGCTGTCCCCAAAACACGGAAGGGCCCTGACACAGAAGGAAGCCCACGTGGAATTCCGCACCGCAGACAACCCAAGGGATGTCGTCAGCTTCTATCCCCACCCCACGCCCAGAGAGACCACCCTGCTTTCACTTCGAAGTCCCCGCAGGCTGTCATGCCGGGGGCGGCTGTGTGTGTTCTGGGTGGATGGTTTTCCCTTAGGCAAATCACCCCGCTTCAGAGCACATAGGTTGGGGTGGGGGCCTCACCGTGGAGAGGCATGAGGTCATCACCGCAGACTGGGGCGGGGCGGGGGGATCTGTTTTCCTGCCAGAGGGGCGCCCTGAACCAGAGAATGAGTTTGGGGCGGAGAAAACGGGAAAAACAAAACAGGTGTAGGCTGTGGGTGGGGGACAGGTCCGGACGGTGGAAGGAGGGTAGGGGGTGTCAGGGGTTTGGGTAGGGGCAAAATGGCTCAGACCGGGGGCCACACTCCACGTTTTGGGGGTCCGAGATGGCCAGGCTTGCGTTTGGAGGGAGACCCAGGGCGGGACGGAGGTTCAGTTCGGAGGAGGGACGGGGCTCGGGCTTGAACAGCTCGTCTGACGCTCTGGTGGGAGAGGTGGGTTTGGGGGGGATGGGGCTGGCACCGGGCACGCCGGGAGGGTGGGGGGCAGAAAGCAGAGGGGCGGGGTGAAACGGGGACCTCCATGTACTCAGACCGTGCCTTCGGGGCCTGGAGCACAGGACAGTGACCCCAGACACATGTTTCCGGGTGTCCCGGGCTCAGACTGCATTTTATCGGGGCGAGGGGCGGGCTGGGGCCTGGGCGAGGGACTGGGGGCGACTTCACGTGGGCAGGACTCCACCTGGGAGGGTCTGAACTGGGAAGTACCGGGGATGACAGGCCGGAGGGAAATCTCCCGGGTTAGGAGGCGGGGTCGGCCGTTCTGGGGGTGCGCAGTGGGGTCCCCTGGTTTGGGGGGTGCAGACCTCAGCCTTTTCTAAAAAGAACGGTGGACGCTGACGGCGGCGTGGGGGAGGTGACGACTTGCAGGTGGCTCGGGGTGGGGGGTCACGGCAGGCCCCAATGTGGGGGGACGCTCGGAATTGGGTGTTAACACGGAAGATGAGGATGCTGAGGTCACCCGGGCCTAGTTCGGCCTAGGGGGCGCCATTCCAAGGGACTGGGGACTCCTGGAGGGGCCTGAGCTGGAGTGAGGGTCGCAGCCAGTCCCGCCGGCACGCTTTTGGGGGGTCGCGATCGAGCTCCGCCGCCTGTGGCCCGGGGGGGCGGGTCCCCGACCCCGGCGGCCTCACCTGGCTCGCTCCTGTCGCTGGCTGGCTCCCGCCGACCCCGCCTTTCTCGGCACCGCACGGCGCCCGCCTCCGACCCCCACAGCTCCCGCAGGCCCAGCGGCGGCCGCCGCTGACAGAATCCCGGGCTCCGCGGTCCCTAATATGGCGGCGGACGCTGCTCCGCTGCCTCCCGGCTCCCTCCCTCCGGCGCGCGCGCCCCACCGGCCGCGCGCGCCCCCGCGACCCGGCCACGCCCCCACGCCGACGCGCGGCGCATCGCGACCACGCCCCCCCGCCGGCTCGGACCCCGCCAGACCCCGCCCACTCCAAGCGGGTGCGCCTGCGCACGATGTGCATCTCGGGAGGACGTGACGTCTCCCGCTATTCGAATCAATACAGGAAGCGCGACGCCAAGCGTTGCCCAGGGCAACCGCGGCCGGAATAGGACCCACGGGGCGCTAGACGATGCGGAAATGGCTCTGCTAGGTGTAGGGCGTCGTTCCATTGGGGACAGGCGCGGAATTCAGAGCCTCAGGTCGGACCCGCCCCAGGGTAGATCGAAGCCAGGCATGCCACGCCTAACGAGGGCAGATGGAACCCAACCACAGGTGCATGTGCCGAAACAAACGCCACAGCTGAGAATCATTCATTTATTCAACAACGATGCCTTGCCTCCTACTGAGTGCTGCTCCTCCAGGCCCCAGTGAGACAGCAGGCAACAAAACAAGTTTTTAGGCCGGGCGCGGTGGCCCAGGCCTGTAATCCCAGCACTTTGGGAGGCCGAGGCAGGTGAATCACCTGAGAACCAGGAGTTCGAGACCAGCCTAGCCCACCTGGTGAAACCCCCGTCCCTACTAAAAATACAAAATTAGCCGGCCGTGGTGGCGCGTGCCTGTAATCCCAGCTACTCCGGAGGCTGAGGCAGGAGAATTGCTTGAACCTGGGAGGCGGAGGTTGCAGTGAACCAATTTCGCGCCACTACACTCCAACACACCAGCCTGAGCAACAAAGTGAGACTCTGTCTCAAAAAATAAAAAATAAAAATAAATAGGCAAAGGATCTGAACACATATGAACATGGTCAATACACTCATGTAAAGATGTCCAATTTCTGGCCAGGTGCGGGACTCACGCCTGTAATCCTAACACTTCGGGAGGCCGAGGCGGGCAGATCATTTGAGGTCAGGAGTTGGAGACCAGCTTGGCCAACATGGTGAAACCCCTGTCTCTACTAAAAATACAAAAATTAGCTGGGCGTGGTGGTGGGCACCTGTTGTCCCAGCTACTTGGGAGGCCGAGGCAGTAGAATCCCTTGAACCCAGGGGGCGGAAGTTGTAGTGAGCCAAGATCGTGCTACTGCACTCCAGCCTGGGCGACAGAGTGAGACTCCGCCTCAAAAAAAAAAAAAATGAGATCCCACTGCACACCTTGTGTGTGTGTGTGTGTGTGTGTGTGTGTGTGTAGTTTCACTCTTGTTGCCCAGGCTGGAGTGCAAGTGCAATGGCACAATCTCGGCTCACCAAAACCTCCGCCTCCCAAGTTCAAGCCATTCTCCTGCCTCAGCCTCTCAAGTAGCTGGCATTACAGGCAAGCGCCACCACGCCTGGCTAATTTTGTATTTTTTTTTCCTTCCCTTCATAATTTTGTATTTTTAGTAGACACAGGGTTTCTCCATGTTGATCAAGCTGGCCTCGAACTCCCAAACTCAAGTGATCCGCCTGCCTTGGCCTCCCACAATGCTGGGATTACAGGTGTGAGTCACTGCACCAGGCCCTTCACGCCTCTTAGGATGACTGTGATTCAAAACAAATCAAAACAAACAAAAAGGACAAAAATCAATTTTTTAAAAAGCATAGGCAGTCAGGTGCAGTGGCTCATGCCTGTAAGCCTAGCACTTTGGGAGGCCAAGGTGGGCAGATCACCAGGTCAAGAGTTGGAGACCAGCCTGGCCAACATGGTGAAACCCTGTCTCTACTAAATATACAAAAATGATCTGGGTGTGGCGGCGCACACGTGTAGTCCCAGCTACTCACTGGGCTGAGGCAGAAGTATCACTTGAACCTGGGAGGCAGAAATTGCAGTGAGCTGAGATCACATCACTGCACTCCAGCCTGGGCGACAGAGCAGGACTCCGTCTCAAAACAAACCAAAAGAAATTCTACCATGAGCACGATCTTGGCTCATTTCAACCTCTGCCTCTGGGTTCAAGTGACTCTCCTGCCTCAGCCTCCCCAGTAGCTGGGATTACAAGCTCATGTCACCACACCCAGCTAATTTTGGTACTTGTAGCAGAGATGGGGTTTCACCATGTTGGCTTTGAATGCCTAACCTCAGGTGATCCGCCAGCCTTGGCTTCCCAAAGTGCTGGGATTACAGGTGTGAGCCACCATGCCCGGCTGCAGAGTCCTTTTTATACCATGTAAAATGACACATTCCAAGGTCTGGGGATTAGGATGTGGATGTCTTAGAGTGGGTTGGGAGGTCTTTATTTCCCACCAGCCACATCTGTTGTGTTGCAATGGTTCAGTGACACGACTGTGGTGGCACAAAAACTACAGGGATATAGAATTATCTAGAACTTAATACACACCTACACCCATACCAACAAGAACAAGTAAAACTGGGGACCTCTGCTTAGATGGGTGGATTGCATCAAGTCTACATCCTGGTAATGTTATGCACCAGTGTTTTTCTTTTTTGAGATGGAGTCTCGCTCTGTCACCCAGGCAGGAGTGCAGTGGTGCGATCTCGGCTCACTGCAACCTCCGCCTCCCATGTTCAAGCACTTCTCCTGCCTCAGTCTCCCAAGTCGCTGGGATTACAGGCACGCGCCACCATGCCCAGCTAATGTTTTGTATTTTTTTTTTTTTTTTTT